CCCAGCGCCGGTAGAGGCCGCTCCTGCCGCGGGGCACGCTGGGAGCTGTAGTTCCGCGGGGCGGCGCCTTCGAGCCTCGCGCCCCCTGCCGGCCCATTGAGGGAGCACAGCCCCCGCGTCCCCACGGGGTCCCTGTGTCCCCAGGGTCCTTGTGGTGCCCTTATGGCGTCCTTGTGGTGTCCTTGTGGTGTCCCCAGTGTCCTTGTCGTGTCCCCAGTGTCCCTGTGGTATCCCTGTACCCACAGTGTCCCTGTGCCACTGGTGTCCCTGTGATGTCCCTGTACACCACAGGGTGTCCCTGTTCCCTTTCCCTGTGTCCCTATGGTGTCCCTGTGCCCACCATGTCCCTGAGTCCCCAGTGTCCTTGTGCTCCTCAGTGGCTCTGTCACTGTCCCTGTGCCCTGGTGCCCCCCAAGGACTTCTCCAGCATGGGAGCTTCCCAGAGGATCAGTTTTTCCAGATCCAGCTGCTCCTGTGTGGGTCCTTTTCCATGGATTCAATCCTGCAGGACGTGCTCCAGCGGGGGTCCTTTTTCCCAAGGAATCCCAGGTCTTTCAAGAAAACCCGCTCCAGTGTGGGCTCCTGTCTCCACAGGGCCTCAGATCCCGGCCAGGAGCTGCTCAGGGTGGAATTCCCATGGAATCACACCTTTTGTGCATCCCCTGCTCTGGCATGGGCTCCTCCACGGGCTGCAGGGGGGTTTCAGCTCCTCCATGGATCTCTAGGAGCTGCAGGTGGATTTCAGCTCCTCCATGGATCTCCAGAAGCTGCACCTGCCTCAGCCCCACCTGACCCTCCATTCAGGAGGAACATCCTGGAGCATCCCACGAGTTTTCCCAGACTCAACATCAGCTGTGCTTCTCTGACAGAAACCTCCATAAGGTGGGATTTATTTCTTCCCTGTGGATAAACTCCACCCCAGCACCTCCTGATCCAAAGGATTTTCCAGGTGGAACAAGGCAGGCAGTTCTGTCCCTCTCTCTGGTGACCTTGAGCAACTCACTCAGGTCCCTGAATTATCTGGAATGGTTCAATTCTTCCTATCCCTAATTATTCCATCTTTATTTTGTCCCCTCAACAAAGCTGGCACCGAGTCAGAGTCATTCTTATCTGGGCTTGGGTGGTGGCTGCCATGGAGATACAGAGCCTGGCAGGGATGGATGGATGGATGGATGGATGGATGGATGGATGGATGGATGGATGGATGGATGGATGGATGATGGATGGATGGATGATGGATGGATGATGGATGGATGATGGATGGATGGATGATGGATGGATGGATGGATGATGGATGGATGATGGATGGATGGATGATGGATGATGGATGGATGATGGATGGATGGATGGATGGATGGATGGATGGATGGATGGATGGATGGATGGATGGATGATGGATGGTGGATGATGGATGATGGATGGATGGATGGATGGATGGATGGATGGATGGATGATGGATGGATGGATGGATGGATGATGGATGGATGGTGGATGATGGATGGATGGATGGATGATGGATGGATGCAGGAATTCTGCAGGATCCAAGCACTAGGTGCCGCTCTTGCTGCAAATTCCGAGCGCTGGGATCGTTTCAGGACGTCAGGACTGGAGAGTTCGAGTGAGGCTCTTTAGGAAACGTGGCTCAGCGTCCCACCGGGAATAAGGCAGTGGCTCCAACAGGATTTATTTTGGCTGTTAGGATTAAATTCCCTCCTCTCTCCCTGGCTGCATTCCGGGGGGACACTCCAAGGCACGAGGAGAGGTTTGAGCCTGACATAACTGAGACACAAGCTGACAGGCTGGGAGAGCTGGGGGTGCTCAGCTGGAGAGGAGAAGCTGCAGGGAGAGCTCAGAGCCCCTTGCAGGGCCTGAAGGGGCTCCAGGACAGCTGGAGAGGGACTGGGGACAAGGCACGGAGGGACAGGAGCCAAGGAATGGCTTGAGAGTAGGATTTGATGGGATCTTGGGCAGGAATTGTTCCCTGGCAGGGTGGGCAGGGGCTGGGATGGAATTGCCAGAGCAGCTGGGGCTGCCCCTGGATCCCTGGCAGTGCCGGTCCTTCCCAACACCCAAACCATTCTGGGATTCTATCACTGTGCTTTTCAATAACTTTAAAAACTACTGAGAAAAGCATGTCTAAAATGTAGAAAAATACTTGCTTTTCTTTAATAAAAATCAGGTTTGGCTTTTTTCTTTTTTGGTGATAATGTGCCTGCATTGAAGTTTTCAAATTGATTTATTTCAAGTGTTGTTTCATATCCCAAATTATTTTATTGTTATTCCAGAACACCCTGTGATCTTGCAGCATTTTAATAGACAGAAAAATTGGCTTTTTGAGGCCAGGGAAGTCAGGGAGTGCTGAGGGCACTTTAGTGAACTGGGGACTGGGTCAAAGTTTGATAATGCTTTCAGGAATTAAAATCAGAGCACTTTTCACAGGTTAATTTTGGACAAATAACATCCCCCAGTGATAAACAGTTTGTACCTTGATGGCTTTGAAGGAAAATTGAAGCCTGGATAAAACCTGTCCTTATATTTGGATACCTGTCACAATAAGGGAGTCCTCCACTACAATAGATGGGAGATTTCAGGAGTTTTTTCCTTCTGCAAAGCAATTAAATTCCCCATATTGCCCCTTTGACATTTCCCTAGTTTCAGTTTGGTCACTTAATGAGTACTCAAACATCTGCAAGGTCAGGAGAAACACCTGGAAGAACATTCCCTTGTGGCTCTGCCCCTTCAGTGTTTGTAGGGTTGTGACCTCAAAGTGCTCTTTTCAGTCATGAGAAAACATCACTTTTTTGTCTCCTGCTGAGTCAGACCACAACTGAAATCATGCAAAGTGTGTTTTATTTTCCTTTTCACTGAGAAACCTCCAGAAAGAAGGTGACAATTCTCTGCCTGTGGTGGTGCTGGGGAGGTGTTTCCCTCAGGGCCCTGCTTCAGGAGGTGTCATAAAAACTGGAGCAAAGCTCGTCCAACCCCACAAACACCTCGTGGCACAGAGAGATGGAAAAGAGGAGGTTTTAAACAACCCACCTGAGCTCTTCATAGAGGGGAGACAGCAGCAGGTCAGTGCCACAAAACCTGCTGGGCTCACCCTCCACCAGGCTTTGGGAAAAAACCTAAACACCACCCCCAAATCCCTCCAAGGATTAAACTCCTGAGCCCAGGTGCTGAAAACACCGAGTGCTTCCCTCCCTCATCTCACAGCTCACCTGAAACCTGAGCTCTGTTGTTCCTCACCTGTTATTCAGTAATTGCACCTGTCTGAGCCCAGGTCTGGGCACCTGGGAGTCCCAGAGGAGCCAGGGAAACAACTGGAAATAGCTGGAAACAACTTCCTGACCAGTTCCTCTGGAAAAACTTCTGGTGTTTCCCAGCAGTGGAGGAGTTTTCCTCTCCTGACGCATCCCAGAGAACCCGAAAAGTCAAGACCGAGCTCACCCCCAACCTCACATCCATGGGCTTGTTCCAGGGGTTGGTGGGGGTTTGGTGGGGTTTTTCCCTCTTTCCCAAGGGTTCCAGAGGCACAGCTGCTGCTGAATCCAGTCCAGGTGGATGTTTTCCACACCACCAGTTCCTCTTGGGCTGGTAAATCAAGAGTTCCCTGGGGATGGAGCCTGTGCCCACCCTCCAAAATCTCCCTGCCCAGGCACCACCTGACTCATTTCCCATTAAAAAAGGGTTTTTCACTCAGTGGCGAGGAACAGAAAACTTTTTTTTCCCCCTTCAAACCGGAAAGAATGATTGAAAACCCACAAAAAGGGTTAGGGGAATTCCAAACAAGGGCAATGGCGAATGAACTCCCTGCCCTCAGCATCACAACACTCCTCTAAAAGCTCTTGATTTGCAAAATCAAGCAGCTCAAACCACATTTTCCTGCCCTCCCAGGGAGGTTTCAGGTTAGTGCTCTTTTATAGGAAAAAGATGCATCTTTATTATTTTGTTGTGCACGTGGTGCTTCCGGAGAGCTCGCGGTGGCTTATTTATCATTTATTTTCCATGTTATAAAAGGGGGAGTAACCCATAACCAGGTACTTGTAGACCCCAAAATATAATCTAAATTCTTTCAAGATGCTGTGGAACACCTGAAAAAAATAAATTTAAGGGTGAGCTGGCTGGGGGAATAAACACTGCCCTCAAATCTTTAGGAGAGGTGATGTGGGTCCACTTGCTTTGTCATAGAGATTGTTTGATTTATTTATTTGTCTTATGAGGTTGGCTGTAAAATATCAAAGGTAAAAAAGGGGGGGTACCAAGATCTGAGTGTCACCATCTCCCACCTTGGCAGGGGAACAGTCAGAACGTGGCCCTGAGGCTCAGGAGATTTGGGATCTATTTTCAGCTCGGCTTTGGACCTGCTGATTGGCTTCTAATTATTCCACACCTCAGTTCCCCCATCTGCAAAAAAAAAAATAATAAAAAAAAAATCAAGATACCAGCATCCTTTATAAATAGCTCTCAATTCTGTTGATGAAACACAGTTTATTAATAGCAGTGGTACCTTCTCACACACGCTGCCGTGGGGCGGAAAAAAAATCATTGTAAATTCACAAATGTCACTCAAATTATGGAAATGTGCGAGTGGCTCTGGAGGAAATAAAGCAGAGGAGGAGCGCCAGGCCTGGTTAGATATTAGGGCTCCAGTTTGTTCATTGCCACAAGAGGGAAGCCAACACTAATAAAATAACTTTATTTGTGCATTAAGCATGGTTATTGTGTTGGCTTTTACCCATTTCAAGGCTGTTGTTTGTACTCTTTCCTCGTAGCAAACTTGCAGTTGATCAAAACCCAAAGAACATTATTCCACATTCCCTTTGGTCAATGCCCTGTGAAATGAATTTCATGGATTTGCCTGTTTGAATGGCAAATCCATAAACCTGAAACAGAAAGTTGGGATTAAACTGAGCTGGTTGCTCTTGTAGTGAAATTTTTACCTTCTAGAAACAAGGGGAAGTTCGGTGGACGTGGGGCTTGGAAAAAACCAAGATGGTGTTTCCCCTCATTTGGGTGAGCATGAGAAATTAAATCACAGACAGAGGTATTTTTAGGAGTTTTTACCCCACAGCAGTGACAAATTAATTCAGGAGGTCTTCTGACTCTTGTTCACGCCGTGAGCATCCTCTCGGTGGCTTCATCTGTTCTGGCGGTGCTGCAGACCACGGGATCTGCAGATCTGGGGGAGGGAGCTGTGGAAATCACAGGTGGAAATCACCCTCACTGGGGTCACACCTGGAAGGAATGACCCTGGTGGGTCAGGATTCGTGGTTACATCTTTGCAGCCAGGCTTTTTAACGCGCTCAGGTTTTTGGGAAAGGGCTGGGGAAGTGCTGAAAGCAGTGCTTGGGCAAACTGGGGGTTTTAAAAGAGTTTTCCTGGGAAACTGAACAAAATATCATCCCCCAAATTCCTTTGGTGGATCTTTTCCTGCTGTCCTGTGGGGCGCTGTGAGATAGGAATATTTGAGAGCTGCTGTTCAGGTTTCTGTAGAGCAATGGAATATTTTATTCCTTCACAGAGTGGTCAGGCCTTGGGATGAGCTGCCCAGGGAGGTTTGGAGGGTCAGGCCTTGGGATGAGCTGCCCAGGGAGGTTTGGAGTCACTGGAATTGTCCCAGAGGAGTCTGGATGTGGCCCTTGGGGACAGGGTTTGGGGTGATGCTGCTGGGGCTGGGGTGGCACTGGGTGATCCTGAAGGGTTTTTTCCAACCCTGGTGATCCTGGGATTGCTGACAGTGCCCAGAAATCATAATTCCTGCTGTTTGGAAGTCAGGATTTTTGAGGAATGGCAGAAAAGGGAAGCCAAAGCGGTGCAGAAAATCACCTCTGGTGAGGTTTCCTGTGAAGACCCCGAGGGTGTTCCCTGCAAGAGCAGAGAGGGAATCAGGGCAAGGTTGGGAAAGTCACAGACAGGAATTGCAGTCCCCAGAGGACATTTGCATAATAAGCTGCTTTGTTAATTCTTTTTTAATATCCTTTAGGAACATTTTGGGTGTTTTGTTCTCCTCCCCTTCCCAGCAGGCAGACCTTAAACTGCTGCTGGGTTTAGAGGAACTGTCAGGCTGAGAAGGGGGAACAGCCAGAAATATTCCCATGGCCCAGGTGGGCAGACCCCTCTCACACATCTCTGAGGAATTCCCACACTCCCATCCCTTCTCCCTCCCCTCTGCTGCCGTTTCAGGCTCCAGTCCTCGTGGATCTGGGCATGTGTTTAGCTCTGAGGACATGAGCAGTCACACCGAGGAGATTCACATGACTAAAATCATGCACTGGCATAGGGATTTCCTGAATGAAGGGCATAAAAGGCAACGGTCAGGTTAAAAATAATGCCTGGGTTTTGTCCCTGCTGCAATGCCTTTGACACCAGTGGAATTGTACAGGGCTGAACGGGATCCAGCTCCCTCACCTGCCAGTTTCCATTGCTGTGTTTATGGTGGGATAAAAGTCGAGCCCGTGCTTGGCTGGGGGGAATTCTGATTCCTTTGTGTCCTTCAGGACAGGATTCTGCCCATGGAGCTTCGGCAGAGCTCTGTTCCCCGTGTCCCCATTGCTCAGACACTGCCACAGGGGTGGCTGGGGTGACAAACACAGCAGGTCTGGCCTGTCCTGCCCCTTCCCTGCTCCTGTCCAGGCCTGGGACACTCTGTGGCCTTGTCAGGGGCTGCTGCTCCTGGGCCAAGAGCCCCTCTTGTCCTGCTTGGCTGCTTCTTTTGTGTCCTGCAGCAGCCCTGCTCTGTGTCAAACACCTGGGGGGTGAATGCTGAAATAAAAATGTCATAAGGCCTCAAAGAGATCTCTCTTAAGAACATTTCTCCCTCTTTTCTGTGGCCAGGTGCCCACGTGGTGTTTTTTGGGAGTCCCCAGACTGTGGCACAGTGAAGGTCTGGGACTCGAGTGAGGCCAAAGTCACGCTCATGTGCAGGTCCCTCTGTGTTTTCCTGCCCCCAGGAATTCCCAGACCCCACACTCGGGGAGAAAACCCACCCCAGAGCACAACCCTGGCTAAAGAACCTGGCACACCCAGGGCTCCTGAGGGATCTTTGACAAGATCTATCTTTAGTTTGAGAGTGAGTCACATCATTGTGATCTGACTTTACGGTTTGTCGGAGGTATGAGCCAGGCCATGGGACTGCGAGCGAGAGCATCATGGGATGGAGCTGTAAAATTCCACTGCTCCCTCCTCTCCAAACCAGCTCGGGAGAGCATCGAGGAGCAGGAATTGTGAGGAGGGGGGGGGCTCGGGGTGTTTTAGGGCTGGGAAAGCATCCTTGGCAGCGGGGGGAGCCGGGCCCAGCTCTGCCCATGGAGCCGGCTCCGTGTGCCCGCAGTCACGTCTGTGGCACCGCAGAGCCACAGCGCGGGCTTTGCGCGGATGCTGCCGCGTTGCTAAGCGACATCGCCAGGCAGAGATGCTCCAGCACGCACAGAGGAGCTGCTCCCGGGCCTTCCTGAGGGAAAAATATTCCTTTTCTGCTGGCCAGAGAAGGGTGCTGCCTCCCCTGGTGGGATGGGAGTCGCGGGCAGCTCCGGGGTGTGCCGGGGTACAAACTCCTGGCGTGGCCCAGCTGCTGGGCAGGTGGGGTGAGAGGTGAATAAACAGCCAGGATGTGACAGACAGAATAGTCCCTGTAACACTGAGCCCCTGGCATTTCTTCTTTCACGGATTCATGGAACTGCTGAGGTTGGACAAGCCCTCCCACATCGATTTCAACTGAGCCCCACTTTGTCACCGTTTCGTCACTTTTGTTTTGCCACGTCCAGCCCTTCCTTGGGCACCTCCAGGGATGGGCTCTGCAAACCTCTCTGGGCAGCCCCTGCCAAATGAAATCCTGTTGTGACTCCCACGTCTTCGTGTACCCAAAACCCACAGACATTGGCTGGACATTCTGGGGCAGTTCTGAGGCCCCTCCACACCCCAGATCATCGGATGATCCCATCACAAACCAGCGGTCATTTTTTAGCCTGAGGTTTTGCTGGAGTCTCCCTGCCGAGCCCCTCCTCAAAACAATTCCATAAGCAGCTGTTGCACACAAAAAGAGAAGCCCAATCCCACTCTGGAGGAAGCTGAAGGATTGTTCTAGAAGGCAGAGAGCAGCCAGCCTGGTCCCCGGGGCCACAGAGAAGGCGGCACCTGCAGGGTTCTGTCCCAGGGCAGAGGAGGCCTCTGCAAAGGCCCGGCGCAGGCCGGCCTTTGAGCACAACTGAAATCCCCACAGCTGAAACGTTCATTTTTTTGGGCAGATCATCGCTGGCAGCAGGTGGTGAGAGGGGAGGGATGCAGAGGGGCTGATAAAAGGCAGCAGACAGCTCCTGGCACGTGAGCCTGGCTGGGTTTTTCCGCTGCGCAGCGTCGGCCGCGCTCGGGGCGTGAGCCAAGCAGGGAGGGAAGCAAGAGAGGAAAACCACACTGGCAGCATCCACAACGGTCTGGGGAGAGAGATCAACAGCTGCCCTGCCCTTGGCTTGCCCTTGAACACACCCCAGCAGCAGCCAAAACAGGGGCTTGTTCTGGCAAATTTTTGGAGAGAGCAAATTTCTGGAGAGCGGCAGTTTGGTTGCGGCTGAGCCTGTCCTGTACCTGCACACCCTCCTGCTCTGCGGGGTGGAACCAGGGAAATCAGGTCCAAGTCTAAAACAATCTCCTAGTTTAGGTATGGATTGGAATAAAACCGATCAGAACAGATTCTGGAGGAGCTGAGGCACTGCTGTTCGAGGCAGCAGGCGCTCTCGTGGCGCTCTGTGGCGTTTGGCCAAGAGCAGAACAAAGGCAGCCACAGAACTTCCATTTTTCACCAAATTGCAGCAGACTGGGGCAGATTTGGCTCTCAAGGCTCAGCTCCTCCCTCAGGCTCCTCAATTTTTGTTTCTACAAACAACAAATTTAATTGTAGGAGAAGATGCTCAGAATTTAGACCAAGTGTAGGAAATCCACTGCTACAGCCACATCAAATTCATCCTTCAGGCACAAGGGCCAGCTGCAAGTCCTGGGTTTGCAGGTTTTTTTTTTGGTCAGGTGAGATAAAAAATAATATAATCTATATTTTAAATTTTTTTTTACCACCTTTAGCAAGGTATTTCTTCAACAAAAAGCAGCAACAAGTAAAACACGAGGGGTGGGAAAAACATCCAGAATTTCACCGTAAGTTTGCAAATCTTTCTTGGAGACGGAGAGGAGGACGGAGTTGTGAGTGTGGGGAGGTCCTGGAATTGATTATCCAGGAAAATTTTGGATTCCCCATCCCTGGCAGTGCCCAAGGCCAGGTTGGACATTGGGGCTGGGAACACCTGGGACAGAGGGAGGTGTCCCTGCCATGGCTGGGGTGGGATTGGGATGAGCTTTTAGGTCCTTCCCAACCCAAACCTTGTGTGATTCCATAATTAATACAAATGATGACTTATCCCAGCTCTTCCTGAGGGCTGAGAGTCATCACAACAAAATTCAGAGGATAAATTTCTCCTTCACCCCCAAACACGGCACAGAAAGGAGAGCAGCGTTCAGCTGGGCAGAAGTAAAAAAAGGAACAAGATAATCTCTAATGAAATTGGGAATAAAAAACAGCCTGAGGGTATTTTCTCTCTGAGTTTCATGGTAAATACCACTCAGCTTTCGGTATCATTAATATCTGATTATTAAAGCTCCGATTTAGCAGTGGCCCCACCTACTTTTGTCTCTGTTTCGCCGGCACGTCCCAGCAATTTGCCAGCTGGAGGTTGTGCTCAGAGCTGGAAATAACTGTATCATCATTTCATTAGCACCTGGCTGGGGGAGAGGATCCATTAATCCAGCTCTGGAGGCACCTACTGTGAGAAATGAGGGAGGAGGCCCACTACAAACTCTCCTGCAGTGAAAGGGAAGCTGCAATTATTTCTTGAAATTTTTCTACTTCCTCAAACAGATCACCACAGCTTCTTCTTATTTCTTTTTTTTTTTTTTTACCTTTATATTTTTTCCTTTTTTTCTTTTTCTGTTTATTTGCAAGAAATAAGGTTTGATTGTTTGCTTCGTGCTACAAGAGATGTCAGAGCCTCCTTTTTGCTCCAAGTGACTCAGGGTCAATGTAATCTGAAAAAAACAACTCCAACAGAACAAACTTGTCACAGATAAATCCCCAGGGAATAAATCTGCTCCTGTTCTCCCTCAAAAACGATTTTACATGTTTCCCTTTCCTTTGTATCCAGCCTGGGTGGATAAGGGAAAAAAATCATCTTGTCCTTTAGCTCTGCTGCTGAGGCCTGGATGTGGGAGGTGTTCTTGGATAAAGGAATTTCTGTGCTGGGAATAAAAGGAGCTGATCATTCAAAGGCACTGTAAAGTCTTCTTAAACTTATTTGGACCACCAGGATCATCTCCTCGGACTTCCTGCAACATTCAGGCCATTGATGCTCAAATCCAGGTCCAAATTCCTCTCCTTGCCCTCTGAGAAGTGTTTGAGCTCTAAAATAATCTGCTTTTTCTGTCCATTTAAAATCTGTTCCTTGGATTTTGCCTTTGGGTTTGCTGGTGTGGAGTA